GTATCATTTGGAGATGAAGCATTTGGTTCCTGGATCTGAAACCAAAAAAGCTAACATGACATAGTCATTTTAGGTGAACAAAACTTGTTGACAAAATGTCACCTAGGCCTTCTCTCTTATGTCGTTAACCTTAGTCCATTTCTAGCACTGCCTTTACAGTCATATAGATCCACATCTTGCTTTGCAAATTGGAAAGCTAATGCTTGCAGAGCCATTACAAGGATTGTCCCAAGGTTATCCAGGAGAAAATAAAAAACAGAGTAGAATGCAAGTTGATCCTTACTTCCTCCATAGTAATTAATTACAGAGTAACTAATCTCATCATTTAAAAACATGCCAAATAAAACAATATTTTAAAGTATACAAAGCCACTGTGCTGTGTTGTTTAAAATAACTGTTTTAAAAATAACTATGCATTTTTTTTCTTTTATAAAGCAAATGCCTGTAAAGTATAAGCAGGCTTTTACAATACATTTTCTAAATTGTAACATGTCAAGAGCCTAAAGTGTTATGTTCATTAAGTCTAATTTATGTCTCTTGAAGTGTGTTCAATTGGCAATAAACCTTTTCAAGAAACAGAAATTATAGCCCTTTACCACTAATGTTTCATTAAATTAGTTGTCTGTGTCTTTAATGCAAATCTGTTCTTTTGCACGAAAAAAGTTCTATTGAAGAGGGAGGCGCCGTTTTCCACGTATAGCCTGAACATGGAAATATAATGTTGATGAATAACAATCTCTGACTCTTAAATATTGAGGGGGACTAAGATACTCTTTTCTAAGGAAAATGCCTGCCAGCTGCCTTGTTTACCATTGATACTGAAACAGTCCAATGTTATACTTGTTATCCAGGCTAAGTAGCAAACATCCCTCTTTTGCCCTCCAAAGTAACTTGGCAATACAAACCAATTTGGTCATCTGAATTCTATTATCATTCCTCTGTTCATCCACACTGGACACTCTCCTTAACTTGACCTATCTTCCCCAGATACCTATTAAAAAAAAAAAGAAAAAAAAAAAGCCCAACCCTCCATATTCCAGCTTACGTTCTTCCTCATGAAGATTTCTTTGAACTAAAATTTCTACCCCTTACTACACTGCATGTAAAACCTCATTGCAACAATAATCTCTCTGCATTATAGATTCGTATATAACTGTCTTCTTCTTTTAATATATTATGAGTGTATTGAGAGCAGAGGCCTCTGATAGCCTAGCACTCAACATGGGCTATGTTGTAGCTCTTACTGAATGAACATACTTTCCGTACACCCTATGACATACTATTTAATGGTTATGTATTTTTATTCCTGGAAGACTAATCCTGACTACTCATTTCAATACAATTTACCCCTAATCATAAAGAATTCCAGGCATAATTCTCTTCCCATATTCAAACTATATAGTCTGTGTTTGTATCCTCTTAAAAAAGTTTTAATGTCTGTATTATTAGCTCAAGCATACTACCTGTCATGAGTAGACCTACTTCAAAACCTAAGATAAACTCACACATTATACTCAGATGAACGTGACAAACCTATCAATCGGGTATTTTCAAATGAATAAGGACCTATATACATAGCTTTTCATTTAAAACTAAATACACATTTTATCTTGTCTAGTTTAAAATGAAGGTATATTGTAGTTGGAATATCCAATGTGAATTAAACTAAAATATATGCATATATGTAAAAATATTCCTCCTTTATTCAAAACTGCTGCCTCTTTGGGGAAGTTACTGTATGCACAATAACCACATGGAGATGATGCAAATGAAAGTCCTCAGGACTTGGAGGAATATATACATATACACACAGATGTATACAGAAATATAACGTGGATAGTTAAATACATATTTGCTTGTTTTCACATTGTTATACCCTTTGCAACCCACATGGAAAGGTTAGAAGTTGCAGGATCCAGTTTTTTCCTTCTACATGTGGGTTCCAGGAATTAAACACACATTGTCAGCCTTAACAGCAGATGTCTGTACCCAATGGGCTATCCCACAAGCCCCACATTTAAAAAAAAAAAAAAAAAAAAAAGCACACCCAACAGTCCACTTAGTTTTGACAATCAAAAACATCAGATGAGAATACAAACTATAAATGCATTTTTATGTGTTATGATATGTAACAGCAGATTAAGTTACCTAAGAATTCTGTAAGACAGTTTGGGTGTAAAGACAAGTTGCTTTAAGGAAAACAAATTCTACCTTCCTTACGCAGTTGAGTCCAGGACCCATCATTCCTTCCCACCTCATATACAGCTTTGTTAGTGTATGTGGAGCTGAGTAATCTGCAGTGATCTCAAAGAGCAAAGACTCACAAAGAGACACAGTTGGGTGGAGAGAAACAGAACCTACTTGTGTCGGGCATTCAACCAACACTCTCAGAAACAGAAGCCAATAATCGTAGAAGAAGCTCATGCCAACTACATGTGATAACCAACCTAATTTTTCATGCAATAAATATGAGCAAATAAAAATCATTGGTCATTTTAGAGCTATAGAAGAGAAATATTTAAATAAAAAAACAATTAATTGAGGGGGAGGAAAAAGGATCATCTTGGTAGAATGTTTGAGTAATTATAAGTATTGTAAGAAAGATCCATGAATACATTCATTCATAAACTAGAACAAATAAAAATCAAAATCAAAGGATTAAAATTCCCAAAATTTTATACGAAAAAAGTATTCTATAGTTTATTTTGGGAAAAAAATACTGAGAAAGTCTCCAGAATATAAAACAATAACACCACAGGTGAAGAATATAGAATTTAAGAATGGAATGTGAATCCAACACGCCTCTAAGAAGAATCTTTAGGGACAGCCATCAAAGGCAGTGAGAGTGATAAGGTAATCACGTCCTAGAAGGAAGTCTCTGGAGCCCAGGACAGCTCTTTGGAGGGTCTAGGGAGCTTTGCTCATGACAAATGAGAGACAACCCCCAAGAACATCCTCAGAAAGCTTATAACAGCTCAGTGGGGCTGCTTTTCAACCTTGCTGTGATACCTGCTTTCCCTGACATCTAAACTGCATGGACACAATAGTTCATATTTTCAGTTCATCTGTTTTTCCTTTATTTCATTCATTTGCACCATTATCTCACTAGACTTATCACTCTTAATGTCAACGCCATAGTGAAAACTCGCAGGTGCATCTCGCCATTTCAAATCCTCCCCCTCCCCCCATGTCTCTGTGAACCAGACTGCTATCTGTTCTGCCATTTAAGGAGCATTTCAAAGATGCTCATGTTCATGGTTCATGTGTAACCCCAGTCCTTCTCAACCATACATTTAATCCAGCAAAGACTAACATCAAACATGAATTTGGAAGAAAGTATGTTTAAAAAGAATAGCAATGTTCTCATATTTTGAAGAATTTACAGTCTTTGCCTATTTCCTTCCTCTCAAGAGATCTCATCCAAAGCAATACATTTATGAAGGACACACTGAAAGGAGCTAGGGAAATGAATCAGTGGTTAAGATCACTGGCTGCTCTTCCAGTGGACCTAAGTTTTAGTTCCAGCACCCACATGGTAGCTCACAACTGTCTATAACTCCAGTCCAGGAGATGCAATTCTCTCTTCTAGCCTGCTCAGGCACTGGGTACACATGTAGTACGCATGCATACATGCAAGCTAAACACCCATGCACATAAAGTATAACTTGAAAAAAAAATTTTCAAGAACACACTGATGCCTCTTGCCAATTGGCACAAGCACTGCGTGTTCAACAGGAAATAATATATAGTATTTGAAGATTGGTTTACATTTTAGGCAATTGAAATATGAAAGACTTATGTACTATATTACATATAATTTCTATATATCTTAAAATGTAAAAGTAATGGCAATGAATCACTGGAGGCAGATTTGGAAAAAACAAAGGCACAAAACATAATATGCTCTTATAAAGTAGGAAATGAGAAGACATGGCCAAGAACTGATAGGTCATAGAATTACAATTTTTATGAAGGTGAGAAACAGAATGTTACAAAGTCGTGTGATAGAGATTAGAGTAGGGGACAAGAACAAATGAGGGTTAAAATTCACACTTGTAATAGAGGAAAATAAACAATGAACAAATAAAGGATGTGCATGGTATTTTAAATTCCACAGAAACTCGCCATGGAGTGGTTTAACATAATCACTTCTGATGAGTGACAATGAAGGAAATGTAATGACTCTCTCATTTATCATCCTCTTTGGTGGCTGCATTTTTGTTTAGGGTATGTGTTGCTATCACAATATTTAAAAAAACAAACATATAAAATAGTAATGAATGATAAGCAAATGACAATCTATTTATCTGTCTTATTTTTCACACTAATATTTGAGAAAACTTAAATAAGGAGACTGTTGGAGCCCACTAGGTTTCCTAGTAACTGTACCCAGCAGGACAGCAAAAGGGGTTGATTGGATCACGGGCTTGGGTACCAAGTGCTTGTAAGGGTCTAACTAGCAAGGGGGAGGTCTTTTGCTCCACCCCTTGGCATTGTTATAAATAGACCTTTGGAATAAAGTTCTGGGCCAGTGGATAAGGATCCAGGCCCTCTCGAGTCTATCCTGTGTTTTCTCTCTGCAACTTTCCCTCTCTATTTCTAACTAAATCTCTTGTCCCTCATTCTTCAAGAGTTCCTGGGGTAAATAAGTGTGGGGGCTGGTTCACTACAGGAGACCACAAACATTTGTCTCCCTCCTGTATAAAGTAATATAAAGGACACAAAGTGACCTGGGATATAGTAGAGCAATTTTTATAGTCAACCCATTGAATCAGCAGATTGGTTAACTACTATTCGGTCTAAATATGCAGATAGCTGCATATACATGAAATAAAGAATTCTATAAAAATCTTTCACACAGAACCAAAAGGGCTCATGTACTGACACACTGTTATTTATCTGCTCAAAGCAGGGCAGTTTTGAACTCAGTAAACATTCCCATTGTCCTAACACTACCTCTCGTCCTACTTTGAAGCTTATACACATGGCGCTATCTTTACCTTGAATAATGCATGGCTTGGTGGCCTGCAATATTAAAATAGAAGTCTGTTGTGTGCTTCATTTCATTGGTGTGCCCAGTGGCCTCAATCCAGTGTCCTACTGGGAGACAATAAACACCATCCACTAAGTTGTTTTCATTATATGTACAGCAACGGTCATGGTGAGGTCCATTGCCTAGAACAAGAAATAACAAACAGCAATTAAGTCAGTGTTTTGCTTAGACAACCTTGAAATGACTGGGATAAAATTAATAGTAAGACGAAAATAAACACAAAGTCACTTAATTACAAAACAAAACAGACCAGAGTCAAAGAAAAGTGGGCATTTGTAAAGTTACTTATGAAAATCTTAGTGTCTATGCTCCCTCTAAGTACAGGGGTTTTAATAAAAAGCTGCTTATTAGCTCTTTCAGAACTCCATGGACCCTCTCAGTACCCTACAACAAGCTATGACTCATTTTACAACCCAGTAACTATTTGAAACAGTTTAAGCAGTCATTATTTGTCTGGATCCCTTGTTATCTTTATGGTATGCAAATGTACTATTCAGGTCAGAAATAAAGTATCTTAGTGCCAATGCAAACAGTAAATACATAAATATGAATACATGAATAAATAGTAAAATAAATGATCACAGCCAATTTAATTTGCAGGTAAAACCTGGATTAGTGTTACTTATAGATGAGGAAACTAAGTCTCCCAGAGGTTAATTAGCTTACCTAAGCCCGCTGAACTTCTAAGCTCAGTGTGATTATTAAGCTGACTCCCACTGGGCCTCCCTTTCAGGCCCCTGATGTCCTCCTACAATGCCCTGCCTCCTTCACATGCACAGTAACACACGCTCCTCCTTCCCAGTGCAATAGAACAAAGGAGAAACAGAAGAGCTTGTCTCTAAGAACATCATTTGCCTGCTTTGCTGTTTTTTCCAATATCAGCCACACTAGATATTGCTACCTGAATGTCTGTGTGCTCCCCAGAGTCCTGAAGCTGCTCCATTCCTCCTTCTTATAAGACTACAGCAGATGCCATCTATGAACCAAAAAGCAAGCCTTCACTAGATGCTGAATATTGCTTGATCCTGCTTTTCCCTACGCTCATAACTCTGAGGAATATATTTCCGGTGTATTAAATCTCTCTGACTATGGAATTTATTAGAGCAGGGCAAATAAGACATTGGAGCCTGTATTTCTATGTACATTAAAATTCATACTATATTATAATTAGAACTTACTAGCTCATCTCATTTCAAATTATCTCCTTTTTTATCCCACCTATTACATATTATAAATTAAACAAATGTCTGTGATTTGCCGGAATAAATTGTACTTGTTATGCATACAAAAATTTTGACTCAATTGCTACTTTTCAACTGAAAGTTGCTTGGCATAAAATCTAAAAATACTCCTTAACTAGTAGCTGATTCTCTAGAATATAACTGCCTCCTTTCAGCTAATAGACATGGAATTACTCGATTAATAAATCATTACTGATCTTCCTAAACAAGACTCCTCTCTCTTCTCTTGATGGCTAAAAGGCACTACACTATCTGTCCACTGAGTACCTTGATATTTAATAGATGATATCCAAACAGAACAACAGCAACTCAACTTCAATGAGAATATCCAACACACAAGTGTCTATAGCAGCACTATTTTTTTTTTTTTTTTTTTTTTTTTTTTTGGTTTTTCGAGACAGGGTTTCTCTGTGTAGCTTTGCGCCTTTCCTGGAACTCACTTGGTAGCCCAGGCTGGCCTCGAACTCACAGAGATCCACCTTGCAACGACATAGTGTGCAAAGTCATGGTAAGGATTTAGGTATTTAACTTAAGGGAATTTAAAATTTTCCAGTCTTATGTAGCCATGTTACAAGACCACACTTTTATTCAGAAATAACTGTCTAATTAGAGTGAAAAAATTAATTCCGGAACGATGAAGTTGAGAGTCCAGGAGCTTGGCCAATAGCTCAGTTACTAAAGTACCTGCTTTGCCAAGCATGAGGACCTGAGTTTGATCCCAAAAGCTCATATAAAGAGTTGGCACAGCAGCACATGCTGTGATATCAAAGCGGGGGAGACAGAGACAGGTGGGTCCTTGGGGTCCACTGTACATCCTGCATGGCCTATTTGGTGAACTCCAGGCAAATGAGAGATCCAGTCTCAAAAATGAGATGGATTGTGCCTGAAGAATGACATCTGAAGTTGTTTTCTGACTTCTACACACATACACATATATGTATATTTGCTCCCACAAATATCTGAACACATACTCAGATGTGTACACACACACACACACACACACACACACACACACACACACACACACACACAGAGGCATGCACACGAAGTAGTGAGTCTATTTAGAAAATAACTGCATTAGGCCAGGAATGTGATGAGCGAATATTGTTGATAGAAACATAAAAGACTGGGTAGATTCAGAAGGAAAAAGCTAGCAGACTTGTGAATAATCAGACATGGACAGAGAAGAGGGCAGGGGATCAGGAAAGACCTCTAAACTTTCAGCAAACAACATAGTGTTTAGAGTAGTACCATTTGCTGAGAGGAAAAATCTGGAGGAGATCAGTGTGAGAATAATGTATTACAAGTGCTACTCAGATAGCCAAAGGATAATATCAAATAGAGCTGGAGTTATGGATTTGACATCCTGACTAAGGACCTGGACTAAAAATAGCTAGCAATCATCTGTGTATAAACGGCATTTAGGCATATAGATGAGTCACTGAGAGAAACAATACATTTGTTCATTCAATACCTGGAAAAGGAAAAGGAACTTACAGACACACAGGAAGAAAAAATGGAGGGGAGGAATGGTAGAAGATTAAGAATTGTAAATGGACATTTCTCTCCTGCCAACCAGGTCCCAAATAACCACTCAGGGGCTTAATATTACTTATACATGTGCATTTGATAGCTCAGGCATGTTGCTCAACTCTTACACTTAAATTAACCCATATTTTTATTTATGCTTTGCCACGTGGCTTATAGCCTGTTACCTCATTTTCTACATATCCTGCTTCCTCAAGCAGCTGTCTCATCTCCTGACTCTGCCCTTCTTCCCATCATCCTTAGTTTGTTAACCCGTCTATACTTCCTGCCCGACTACTGGCCAATCAGGGTCTTATTAAACCAATTTGAGTGACAAATCTTTACAGTGTATAAGAGGATTATTCTACAGTAGAAGACCAGCCTGAGTTAAAATGAAATGTAGACTAAAGTAGACAAGGCATGTGTTGTGTTAACAGTGATTATTCCTGGGAAGGGTAACTCAGTGGAGGAAAGTATCCATTCCTAAACTATCCAAACTAATTGATTTGTTACAAAGAGCAGGTGTTAATAAATGAATAGCTCATTCTCAGAAGTATCCAATATTTTATTAGCTTAATAAAAGAATATATATTGTCAGGCAGTGGTGGCGCACGCCTTTAATCCCAGCACTTGGGAGGCAGAGGCAGGCGGATCTCTGTGAGTTCAAGGCCAGCCTGGTCTCCAAAGCAAGTGCCAGGAAAGGTGCAAAGCTACACAGAGAAACCTTGTCTCAAAAAAACCAAAAAAAAAAAAAAGAATATATCTTTTCAAGTCATCACTATAATAGACTTATGCTGACTTAAATAATACCTCCTAAGTACACATAATTATTGAAGACCTAAATTATAAATTATAATGTTCAATAAAAATTTTAGATATTATCTTCCAAAGAATTTTTCACTGCTAGAATTTGTTTCTGAATACTCGTTTTTTATACACAGATGTTTTAGACAATTTTTATGGGAGTCTTTTACACCTAGTAATCTATGTTATACAAATTACATTACAGCAATTAAAGTTTTTTTTACAATAAAATCATTACCTTTTGAATTTAGCCAAGGAAATACCAAAAGCTAGTAATAAATTTTATTTGGTGGAATTTCTACATCCAGGACTATGGAGCAGATTTATTTGTTCTTTTTCCAGAACTGGACATTTAATGCACACCAACGTAAGAGAACTTAGAGGAGCAAGGAGCAGAATAAGCCACCTGGAGACTCTAGGGCATAGGGACAGCGCACTCTTGGCTTCTGTGAGGCGTTGTTTGCTTTTCATACCCCAGACTCGGATCTGAAAAGCCAGTGACCTGCTAACACCAACAGGGAGAGACAAGAGAAAATACAACAGAAGTGCAGTCTCTAGCAAGGAAAGGAGAGGGGTGGCTAAGAAAAACAGACCTCTTTCTTGTATGTGTGCACACAAGTATGAGTGAGTGAGTGAGTGTGTGTGTGTGTGTGTGTGTGTGTGTGTGTGTGGTCTGTAAATATATGTATTGTGTTTATATGTGTGTTGTAAGTTTGTGTATGCATGTTGAATGTTTGTGTATTTGTATATGTGTACATGTGTACATGTACATGTTTGTTTCCATGTGTGGAAATGTGTATGCATGTATATATTCACTGTATGCTTGTGTATATGTGTATTGTATATTTGTATGTGTTCATGCGTGTGCTGTATAACCATGCATGTGTTATGTTTATGTAAACGTGTGTATGTATATGTTGTGAGTGTTCTTATGTGTTATATGTTTGTGCATATTTTCATATATTTATGACTATGCATATGAGTGTACAGGTGCATGGGCCTTTGTTGGTAAGAAAAGGTCTCTCACTAAACTGACAGCTTGCCATTATGGGTAAACTAGCCAGAAAACCTCTAGGACCCTGCCACCACTACCTCCTGACTGGAGTTACAGATGTGCTGCCACACCTGGCTTTTAGACAGGTACTGGGGGTTGAATTCACACTGTCACACTTGCACAGCAAGTATTTTAACCACTGTACCAAATCTCCACCTCACACAAATGTAATCTGTAGGTTAATACCTGCTTTGTGCCAGTCATACACCACCACCAAGGTATGGACCTACACTCACCCACCATCACCAGGCTGGAGTGAGGCCCTACAAGCCACTCACTAGGGCAGTACTACAGGAGGCCAAATAGAGGACTGAGACTTCCAACAATTTTTCTGGCAGAGTCTGTGGAGAACAGGCAGAATGTAAACATTTACCTTCATGTAGCCTAAGCAGGTGTCTCATCCTTTGCCACTGAGGAAGCCAAATCAAAAACAAGGTTCTCACAAGATCCAGTATCTCATTAGGTATTACCCCGGATGTTCAATTTCCAAGCATAA